ATTACAGCCTAGGAAGCCCTCTGGGGCAATTCTGCTCTGTCACATGGGTTCGCTGTTAGTTGAAATTGACCCAGTGGCACCTAACAACAACAGCAGCATGTTAATAGCACCCTGGCAAAAGCCAGGCCTTGAGGTATGGATGGACGTGGCTAAGTGGAGAGCTGAGGCAGGAAGAATTGCAGTGATGGGAGAGAGAACTGCAAGGCTGGAGTAGCACCCTCAGAGCAGGGTGGAGAGTGGGTGGCTATGCACGTGACTGGGGAGGAGAAACAGAAGAGTGGCGCAGAGAGGACAGTACGGGGGCAGTGTAGGCTGCAGTACCCTGAGAAGATGGAGGCACCTGGAAAAGCTTGTGTTGCCAGGCTTAGGAAGTTAGATCCACGGCTTCTTAAATAGTGCAGTGACATTACCACAGGGGTTGTTGAAAGCTATTCTAGCAGTGGCAGGTAGGGAAATTAGAGATGTCGGCATGGCCTCCTGGGCAGCTGTTACCATAATCTATGCACCACGGGACAAAAGCAGTAGGGTAATAGAATCCGAATGTGTATTCTCTTACATTCATGTGGAATTTCAGAGTCCCCAGAGCACACCCACCTATTTTATCGAATTTACCTAATTAGATCCTCTCAACAATTGGTTGTATGAGTACATGCATGTGTGGGTATTCTTACCCCGTAACCATACTTATTCACTCTGTGTGCTGAGTAAGTAATCCGAGAATCTGGACTGTATGAAGAAGAACGCAGCCTCAGGACTGGAGGAAGCCTCCTTAACAACCTGTGATATGCACATGACTCGACTTTAAGGGAGCCTCAAAATGGTTTTGTTGAATGAAGATGGTAAAGTTGCCAATTACTACAACTACAGACAAAAAAACAACCTTGAAAGAACAGGAGTTACAATCTTAATAAACCGGAGTAAGAAAAGTATTAGCTGGCATTTTGATATACATCATCTTTTATCTGAAATGCAGATGAACTACAGTGAAACCTGTAAGAGCCGGAACTCGACAGAACTGCCTTGTTTTTCTGAGTCTCGCCAGTTTCCCACCTTTGACAGGGTGTGGTCTTACCGCTTTCCTATCGCTCGTTTTGGTGGAAAAATATTTGAGCTTTCCTTCTCTGATGGTTTCCGCCTTACACAGGTTCCGGAGGTTTTACTGTATTAAATGATGAAATGTTGGACATTAACCTTCTAATTGAGTAATTTGTCCTCCAAGTAGAAGGTGGGTGTTTTGAAAGTCATGAATTTTCGAGAAAATATTAATAGCAGCAAACATTTATTGAGTGCCTACCTGGTGTCGGGCATTGTTCTTGATGCCGGAACCACATAAGATCAAGGAGGACCGCTAGAGGGTCTTTGCTGGATTTGGAGTTATATAAAAAGATAAATCACGATAAAAATCAATGTGTATTAAATCATTTTATTGTGGTAAAATATGTATCACCTAAAGTTTGCTGTTTCAACCAGTCTTAAAAGTACAATTCAATGACGTTTCAACCAGTCTTAAAAGTACGATTCAATGACGTTTCAACCAGTCTTAAA